GGAGGAGGCTGGTTCCTGGGCCAGGGTCAGGGTACACAGATTTCGGCAGGAGGCTACCAGATCACTGGGGGTGTATTTGTGTGGCCCGGAGACATTGAAGGACGTGCAGCGGGTCATGGCGACTCCACCTGGGGCTCCGAGGTGGGATGGAATCGCAAGAACAAAGGCCAGAGAGCCCAGCCTGGTGCTGCTCCTGGCTACTGAGCGGCCTCACACCTGGCCTGCGCCCAAGCAGGTGGGCACCTGGGACCCACCTCAGCCATGCCACACAGGCCTGGTACCCCTCACCTGCTGACGCTCCTCCTAAAACCACACAGAGAAAACCTGTTCACACCCACCCCCCTTTCAGAGCTGTCCAAAGTCACCCTGCCACTAAGGAACAGAGACAGCGTGGAAGCCCGGAGTCCAGTCCAGTCCTCAGCCTCCCTGCCCTCCTGGTGCCGTGTGTGTGCACATGAGCACACGTGTGTGAGATGCTCAGGTGGGGAGCCCCTCACAGGCTCTCAGTAAACACAGCACACAAAGCCCCAGAAGAGGACCTAGGAAGAGAACCCAGCACCACACACTTGCCCAACGGCCCAAGGGCACTCCTCATACACAAACACTGGCTTGGCAAGAAGGCTGGGCCGTGCTGTGGTCGTTAGGGATTCCATTCAAGACATGTGGGATGATCCCCTGGCCAGCTGAGCAGTGGTTAGAGCATCAGCCCTCGGCTGAAGGGTCTCAGGTTCGATTCCAGTCAAGGGCACGTACTGCAGTTGCAGGCTCCATCCCTGGCCCCCATTGGGCTGTGTGTGGGAGGCAACCAATCAATGTGTCTTTCTCACATCAATGTTTCTCTGTCTCTCCCCGTCCCTGCCACTCTCTAAAAAAAAAAATCAATGGAAAAATTATCCTGGGTGAGGATTAACCAAAACAAAAAGAAATGCAGGAGGCTGTCCTCACCCAGGGCTATGCAGGCCTGTGTGGCACTTGCTCAGTGGGGGCACTTAGTTAAACCAGATAAGAAATGGAATTATATGTGTTTTGTTGAAAAAGGCCTTAGCAAACAAGGAAGCCAGCTTCCCATTTTACAGATGGGGAAACTGAGGCTGAGACTCATCCCAAGTCACAAAGCAACTTACAGACTGGGATGAGATGGTAAAGAGAACAGGACCAGAGCCATTGTCGGAAGATGCCCAGGCTGGTCAATGAGGGTCTGGGCATTGCTGGGAGAAAATGGGGGCGAGACACTGGGGTGTGATACCTGGACCAGAAAAGGTGGGGTGACTTCCACACCAGAGACAGCAGTGAAGCGAGCTTAGCCGGCAGAGAGTAGGCAGTGCAAGACATGGACCCAGAGCCCTGAGGAGGTGAGGCCCCAGCAGGGTCAGCATCAGAACACAGCCTCTGAGCACCCAGCACACTCAACCTACTGCTCAGGCCTGAGCTGGGGTTTTAGAGAGGCAGCTACCACAACCCATGGGAGGGGCCCGAGAGTCCCTGGGAGGGGCCTCTGGACAGAGCAGATCAGGCCACGCCCCATCCCCTGAGGCTCCAGACACCTCCCTCAGGTTAGATGGCAGCCAGGAGGAGACCAGGACAAGGCCAGGGCCCACACTCTCAGATGCCAAGAACGCAGTGACTACAAGGGCCAATGGAGGAGGCCCCCAGGGGGCAGGCTCAAGGTCCCCACCCGCAGGGCCCCTTCAGAGGTGCAGGCATAGTCATCAATGCTTACCCAGTGTTTACTACCCACCAGGCACTGCTCTGAGAGCGCTAATCCCTACAGCAACATTATGACTATCACCCCATTTCCCAGGTGAGGATACTGAAACTCAGAAAGATGAGTCCACTTGCCCAGGGTTACAGCCTTCGCACAGAGTGCTCCCTTGAAATCCCATGTGGATGAGACACACAGACAGCCCAAAGCTCAGCACTGACCAGCGGGGAGGCCCATACCAGCCCCTCCCACAGCCATGCAGCCTGAGAGTGTCTGGGGAGGGGGCACTCGCAGCCTCAAGTCCTGAAACTGGAGGAACCCTTAGAGGCCACTGAGTTCAGGGAAAGCCAGAGTGCGGCTCACACACACCTCTCCAGCCTGTACATCACCAATCCGTCGCGGACCTGACTCCCACTGTCCCGGAGCAACTTCAGACTCTGCTGGTCCGTTCACTGGGTATCAGAGTTGGCCCAAGAGCTTAAAAAATCCAAACTTCCATTTGAAGACGGGGAGACTGAGGATCTGAGAGAGGCTCCCTTTCCCAGTCACACGGGAAGTGAGGCCAGCGGGTGCGCCACGGGCACTGGGAGCTGGGGGTGCAGAGGCAGGGAGGGCATTCCAGGTGGGAGAAGGGTCAGGCGGGGACATGCTGGCCACTCAGGGGGCCGTGAGGAGGCTGGGGATGGCCAGGAGTGGGCCTGGAGGGGACAGAGGCTGGAGGGGGCATTCCCATCCTCACATCTGGGAGACGATGAGCCCTTGCACAGAAGCACATCTGCAGCCACATGCCCGCCCTCCGCTTCTGCCCGCCGTGTGCCCCCACGTCCTGCAGATGTGCAGGTGAGCACAGTGCAGGCTTCCTCCTGGGCCGAGGCCTGGAGCCCAAGGAGAGAAGGAGCAATGTGGAGCTGCATATGCAGAGGCTGGGGGGGCCAGGCTCTGCCCACTTCCTGGGCCTCACCATTCCAGGGCCACTGCCCAACAGCCAACCTCCACCAGTCGTTCTGCCCAACAGCTCTCAGCAGGTGGGAAGGAATGCCCCAGAACAGCCTTCCATCAACTGGCAGGCAGCTCCCTGCCCCCACGCACACTCTGGCTCCTCAGCCAGGCTGAGCTCCCACTGCACCAGCCATGACTTTGTCAAAAATACATCCCAAATGACTCCTGCCCTTCCAGGTCTCACTTCCTTACTCCCCTCTGGTGCTTCTTAGCGTCCCCAGCCACTAAACCACCTGCACGGACCTGGTCCCTGGGTTCTCCCTCGCAGGCTTCAGGCGGTGTCCCCTCCAGGAGGTCCTACACCACCAATGGCCCACGCAGCTCCTCTCCTCTTCCAAACCTCCGCCGCCCCTTCCTCTCCCACTTCTCTTCCCCTCCTCACCTCTTCTTCACCCCCCTCCTCTCTTCACCCTCTCCTTTCCCCTCCTCCTCCCACTCCACATGGGGGGTCCGTTGGCACCCTGACCCCTTCTCTAATTGCCCAGCCAGAAGCCTGCCTCCTCCCTCTCCTTCAGTCCCCAGATCTACTCCCTCACCCAGTTGGTCCTCTGTATTTTACCTCCTGAATTCCCACAGCCACCCACCATCTCCAGGCCCACGGCCACCCTCCTGCCCAGGCCACTCCTGCCAGGACACAGCAACAGGCTCCTGATGGATTTCCTTGTGGCCACCCTCTGCCCCATGTCCTCGAACCCCCAAACCACAGCTAAAGGGGATGTTTAAAATCTTCCCATCCACCAGTGCTCGGCTGAAAGCTACTAGTTCCATGAAGCCCTCTGAGTACTCTGGACCTGGTTCTCCTGTTAGGGTCCGAAGGTCCCATCTCTGGCCAATCTCAGAGGCCAAGAGGGGCTGATGCAGGCCCGGCACAGAGAGAGAATCCAAGAAACTCTCACTGACTAGACCAGTGGCTCTTCCACAAAATACCAACTTCTGAGCATGGGCCACGAAGTTTCCATCGCACTGTACGTGCACGCCCGCACATGGTATTTTGTGGAAGAGTCACACTCAAGGGGCCAAAGAGCCGCATGTGGCTTGCAAGCCACGGTTTGCCGACCACGGGACTAGACAAAGGAATGAGGGGGTAAGCAGCTGAATAGAGAAACAGATGAGGAGATGGATGGATCAATGAATGAGGAGACAGGTATATGTACAGACAGGTGGCCGAGCATATGGATGGATAAATGGGACTGACAGATGAGTGGATGGGCTGGTGAGTGGTAACCAGAGAGATGGAGGAGTTAGGTGGGTGGAAAATTATTGAATGGGTTGGGTGGATAGATTAGTGAGTGGAGAAATAGGTGGATGAGTCAATGGATGAAAGGATACATGGGTGGTTGGGCGAGTTGAGGAGTGGCTGGGAGATGGTGGGGAATGAATAGTTGGGAGATGGGTGAACACATGGATAAAAAGATGGCCGGATGGGCTGGGTAGGTAGGTGGGTAGATGGCAGATGGAGGGAGGACATGTGGAACTAGTGGATGGGTACTGGAGGAATGAGAGGCTGAGCAGGTGCGTGGAGGGATGAGGAGGGAGATGGATGGATAGATGGGTGGGTGCACAGATGAGTGTTGGGCTGGGAGGACTAGGTGGACAGGTGCACATCAGTGACCTTAATCTTACCTCTTGATTCTATCTTCTAAGTAACAGTGCTGAGTGGGCACGTGCTATCTCCAAGGCTGCATTAGCAGCAGCTGCCATTTCCCCAGCATCAGCTAGAGATGAGTCAGTGGCTAGAAGACCCTAAAGGTAACAAAGCAAAGCCAAGTTAATATAGATGGTGCTACTCTTGCCAGAGAGGCTCCAAAGTCAGGAATTTCCACATGCTCCCACATTCCTGCTTGCTTCCCCCAGGGCCCCTGGGAGGAGGAGCGGCCTCCCATACCTCTGGTGCCCCACACCTTCCCAGCAGGTCAGCCTGTCCATGAAAAACTGTCAGAACCAGAGAAGGCAGAACAGAACAGGTCCCACCACAATGACAGCCGATAACTGCTGAGCGTCTATGGCATCCAACACTGTGGTAGGTGATTTGCAGACATCAATTCATGTCATCCTCACAACAACCCCACAAGGTGGACACTATTGCTGTTCCCATACTTGAGAGGTAGTTAATGTGGGAACACTCTTAAAGTTACAGAGGAACTCAGGTCCCTAGCCTGCGCTCCTAGCCACCACCTGAAGGGTCTTCCCAAAGTCAATCACAGGGCTGACCTATCAATAGATGGGTGGATAGATTATGTATGTATGTATGTATTGATAGATGGATGGATGAATAGACAGATGGCTGAATGGCTGGATGGATGATGAATGGGTAGATGGATGGGTGATGAGTGGATGGATGCATTATGAATGGATGGATGATGGATCGCTACGTGTGTAAATGGATAAATGAGAGGGTGGGTGGATGAATAGTTGGATGACTGGATGGATGGATTAGATGGATGGATAATGGGTGGAAGAGGGGTGGATTATAAATGGGTAGGTGGGTGTATAAATGGATGGATGGGTGATTATAGATGGATGAATTATGGATGGCTAGGTGGGTATGTGGATAGTTAAATGAATGATATGGATGGATGAATGGATGGCTGGATGGATGATGGATGAAGATGGATGGATAATGGATGGATGAATTATAAATGGATGGGTAGATAATGGATGGATGGATTATGGGTGGGCGTGTGGGTGTGTGGATGGATAAGTGAATGGATGGGTAGATGGATGAATTGGTAAATGGATGGATAAATTATGGATGGGTATGTGAGTGTGGGAATGGATAAATGAGTGGGTGGGTGGATAGATAGGTAAGTTGATAATGGTGGATGAGTAGGCAAATATGAATAGGTGAGTAGGTAAATATATTTTTAGGTGAATGAATGGATGGATGAATGAGGTGGTTGGGATAGATAAATAACCTTACCCCCCCCCAAGTGGGCCCACACTGTGCCCCACCCTGGGAGCTCAGCTCCTGGCTTTAGTTATTCCAACCTTCACGGCCCCGCCCTGCAGGAGAGGTGAGTCTCCCTACTGAGCAGAGGGAGACACTGAGGCTGAGAGGGTGCCACTTGCCTCAGGTCACCTGGAGCGGGGATTCTGAGCAGAGGAAGTGTCCCTCACAGGGTAATGGGAGAGAAAGAGGGGGGGCCCAGGGGCCAGAGAGTCCTTGCTCCAAATTCAAGAACCCACCAGGGGCTTGCTGTGGGCCTCTCCCTGTGTCTCAGCCTCCTCGTCTGCAGAATGGAGAGACGCCACCCACCTCGGGAAGCTGTCAAGGAGGTAAACCGAGGCCCTGCCCCAGTGGGTGCCACACAGCAGACCCAGAGTGAGTGCCTGAACTTTGTGCAGGATTGTCTGTCCAGGTCAGGGAGAAGGGACAAGGGTGGAGGTATGGACAGCCTGCCTCTCCCCACTTCAGATTGGTTACCTGCCTCTCAAACCCATTCCTGACTCCATTTCCTCAAGTTTCCAGACACACAAACCCCGTCCGTCAGGTCTGTCCTTACCGTGAAACTGAGGCGCAGGGAAGTGACTTGCCGAGATCACAAAGCAAATGAATGAGTGGCAGCTTGGAGACAGAATACAGGCCTCTGGACACCCTGCCTGGTGCCTTCCCTGCCCACTGCGTGTGTGCACTCAGCTCCGGCACCTCTGGGTCATGGCCACAGTCCTGGACAGGGTGGTCTGGGTGTGGGACAGAGCTTGCACACAATAGAAGGGCAGCCTGAGCCACAACGGACCAGACTGGCTCCTGACGTCCCAGCAGTGAGGGCAGGGCCTGGGTGGGCCCTGGAGCCCCTGTGCCTCCCTGCCAGCACCAACCTGTCAGCAAGGCTGGGCCGATACCCCCGGGGGCAGGGCAAGGCACTTCCCCTTCCGGAGGCCCAGCTTCCTCCACCACAAAATGGGCTGATGACCGGCCTCCCAGGGGACGCCAGTGCCATTCATTGCGATGGGGGAGGGAGGGTGCTCTGGGCACAGGGCCTAGCACAGCATGGCTCCGAGGACAGGCAGCTGTCATCATAGCATCATGACACCAACCTTCCTTGGAGGGCGGGGCCCAAGGGGCCAGAGAGTCCTTGTCCCAAATCCAAGACCTGTCACCCTTCTCTCAGCCCCCACCCCCGGCTCCTATAGGCCTTTCCCTGTGCCCCAGCCTCATCTGCAGAATGTAGAGACCCCACCCACCTCAGGAGACTGTCAAGGAGGTAAACCAAGGCTCGGTCCCAGGGGGTGCTACGCAGCAGACCCAGAGTGAGTGCCAGGGCCTCCCTGTGCCCCCTGAAAGGGGTTTCCGCTCTAACACTGGCACAGGCAGCTCCGAGCAGAAATAGAATTCCCAACGGGATTGAAGCAGGCACATGCCCGACTCCCACCAGCCCCAGCGATGCTCTCCAAACGCCACGGCAGCAGCTAAGCCAGAGCCGTGAATTCCATCTGCTCAGCGACCGCCTCGCCAGTTGCTCCTGTGCCTGGGCTGGTGCTGGCCACGCAACCACAGTGCCCACGACCCCCGGGCCCTGCATCGTCTGGGGTCTGGGGACCAACGTTGGACATATGAACCCAGTGACAGGCTATGCCACATGGCCAGGAGGGTGGACATCCACCCTGAGTCCTGCGGGGAAGCCAGGTCTGGCCCAAGGGCAAGCGGCAGGTCGGGCCAGGCACCAGGGAATGTTTCCGGGAGTATTTTTATCTTGAGAACATCCTACTCTGAGGGCGGGGCAGGGGGAGACAGGGTGTCCCTGGCCCCAGGTCTGGGAGCAGCAGAGGACAGAGCCGCTGGGTGCTCTCCACTGAGTGGCTGTGACAGTGTCTCCCCGCCTCTGGGCCGTCCTGTTCCTATTTGCCAACGAGGGGATGGCCCTTCCAAGTCCAACATTTCAGGACTTAAAGGGACTAGGGGGCGAGAGGGGCTAGAGACACAGAGGGGGCACCCTTGCCATCCTGATAACAGAAGGAGGAGGTGTACTGAGTGCATGCACAGGCCCTGGGGCCGAGGCTTACAGACAGGGAAAGGAACTGAGGCTCCAAGAGGCCCTGGATGCGTGTTCATGAGCTTGAACTTAATCCCAGGGAAAGTCTGAAAGTGTGAGCTCTGGGGCAATATGGCTGGGGGTCCCAGCTTGTCTTTGTCTCTTCCTTGTGTGACCCTGGGTAGGTCACACAGCCTCTCTGAGTGCCAGTTTTCTTACCTGTAAAATGGGATCAATCATAGTACATATCTCAGAGGGTGACGATGGAGTTGCAGCAATTAATACAGGAAGCTGACCAGCTGGGAACCTCCTGGCCCCCACCCCCTCGCATCATCTCATCTCTAAGCCTGGCTCATGCCCTGGAGGCCTCAGCTGACCCTCCCTCCAGGCAGGAAGGAATGAGCAGATGGACAGAGGACTCCAGGGGAGGAGCCCAGTGAGCAAAGGCAGCGTAGCTCCTATTTCCCTTACGGTAGCAATTTTTCAAGCTTCAACCTAATGTGAGTCTCAGACATTTCCTAAGCACCCAGCATGTGCTTGGGAGAGCAAAGACATGAGATTAAGTAACTAGAAACGTCCTGAACCAAAGAAGACCATGAGTAAATAGGCTAAAAAAGTTGCCAACATAAAAATACGTATGATGTTGAAGCATCCATCTTATATAAAAACTGCTGTTTGAAATTTTAACCCTGCTATTTTGGCTTCTGTAAATGCTTGCTTAAATAATACGGAAAGTAAGACTACTCCCATTCCAGAGAGGCCGTAAACTCTGCCCCAGACAGAGCTGTCAGTGCGGACACCAGGCTAGGCCTTGAGATAGGGTCTCACGGCCCCTTCCCAGCACGCAGGCCTTCTTTCTCAGAAGGCCCAGAAGTCTCATTCCAAATTTGGGAGACAAAGGACTGGAAAAAGTATAAATACAGAGAGTTTCCTCCACGTTGGGGGGGCCCAGAATTTGAAAGACACATTTTTCTCTGGGCCTGCACATAATCATAATTAAAATGTAACTCCCGTTCTCTAAGCGTGGCTTGGTTTTTCTCCGGTCTTCTGTAACAATGATCATTATCAAAACCCACCATAAACAAAATAAAAGGTATCAATGTTTTGTTTGTTTGATGTGTTATAAAAAAAAGATTGATGAACTTAATAGACAAAGGGTTCTTATAAATCAATGAGAGAAAAGGACACACAGAAATGAACAGAGGGCTAGGGTTGGACTCCCCACTGAGGGTCATGTTCCTCAGGCAGCAACGTCTCAGGAACATCCATACTTTAGAGCAGGGGTCCTCAAACTATGGCCCGCTGGCCACATGCAAACACAAATATTGTATTTGTTCCCATTTTGTTTTTTTACTTCAAAATAAGATATGTGCAGTGTGCATAGGAATTTGTTCATAGTTTTTTTTTTAAACTATAGTCCGGCCCTCCAACGGTCTGAGGGACAGTGAACTGGCCCCCTGTTTAAAAAGTTTGAGGACCCCTGCTTTAGAGCCTCAGTGTAAGCTAGTCCCTCACCGGAAATGCCTTGTTCTGCCTTCTGGAACTCCATGCATCCTTCAAGCGTGAAGGATGCCTCCTCTATGAAGCCTTCTAGGATTTCCTTGGTTCCCCAGTACTCCTTGCTAAGTCCCCACAATACGTTTCTTGGGCCTCTGGAACCAGTGCTTGGCTTCAGTGAGTACCTGGCACTGCATCAGAGATTATCCCAGATTTCGGGGCGGGGGGGGGGGGGGGGGGGGGGGTGCCTAAACACCTTGAACAGAGGAGAAAATCAGGTACAGAGATGGAATGGTGTGCCTAAGGCCTCCAGTCTGTGAGCCACCCCTGAGGGCCTCCCCCTGCCCCCAGGTGTCCCACCTCTGGTCCCTCCACACTCCAGCTGCCTCCTCCCTAAGGAGCCCGCCAGGCCTGCCTTGTCCCTGATAGGAAAGGCCCCCGCCCTTCGGGCTGCATCTTATATAATAAAAGCCTATTATGCTAATTAGGCTAATATGCTAATTGGTCTTGGTCAGCCTTTCAATCAATCAAAGCATGATATGCTAAGGTCACTCAACCACTCACTATGACATGCACTGACCACCAGGGGGCAGACACTGTGACCAGTCATTTAGCTTGCTGCTGGGATCCGCTGATCAGGACTGAGTGAGACTGGCCGGAAATGCCCTGGAGCCCTCCTGTGGTCCCTCCCCAGCTGGCCAACCTCCCTTGTCCCTCCCCAGCCCCAATCGTGCACAGATGGGGTCCTTAGGCCTGGCCTGTTCTTTCTTACAAT